CTTTCTTTTTTGTTTCTGTTTCTTTCTTTTTTTCATTTTTTTTTTTTATATATTCATTCATACATTCAGCACAATTATTTATAAAATAAATATGTGATTATTTATTGTACATTTAATCAATATTTATATCCTTGTTTATCATTTGTCCATGTTGAATGCAGCATTATGCTGACGATATTTTTACAACCAGATCAACACATATTATTGCGATTAATAATAATTTCCACGTCGAATGCAGTGATTTAAAATATGTGGCTTGGATTCTTCTAAGGTTTTGAAAATTGAATCGAGGGTAATTTTGTAGTGGTTAGTGTTGAAGTGGATTTTATTGTTGTTAATGTTGCTGGAAAAAAAAAAAAAAAAAAAAAAAAAAACGTGGCGGCTCAATGTGTCTCATCGATGAAACTAAATATCATGGACGTTAGTAGTTTATGAAATGAAAAAGAAAATTGGAATCGTATCGCTCGTATGCGATTGTGAGCTTCGTTATACTATGATTATCGAAGGACGACGACTTGCACAACGTGAAAGTCTTCACTGGCATTGGCTCATAGAGTTTGTAGAATTTCATGGTTAAATAACAACCGTAAAAGTAAATAACATTTATAATAATAAGCGTCTCTCACATTTATTAATATGATGGAGTGGAATGAATCGTTATCTCGAATCATTTTACATTTGAGCAAGACGTTTCAAAGGACCTTCTTGCACTTTGATTGTTAATTGAAAATTCAGAGTTGCGTATGGATAAGTTTTGTGACAATGGATTGGACGATAAGCGATACCAATTTTCACGATACGATTATACGAGGGAAATTTTTACGTTAATGCGAACGATTTTTGTATTTAATCAGTTGAATGCGCAAGACCTTGACAATTCGTACGTTACGCCAGAAATAAATTCTCAAAACGCAAGAAGAATAATTTTTATTAATTTTTGTCGTCGGATAGATATATCTTATTAATTACATTAATATTGGACGATTGGAAAAAGTTCGAGCGTGAAAGAATAAAATAACATTGTCTTTTCACTTCGTAAATGTACGCTAACACATGCGGGAATGAAATAATTTATCCTTTAACTTAATTTATTATATAAAGTTAAATAATTTATTTTACTCTTAGTATTGTACATAATGGTAATTTAAAAAAAATAAAATAAAATAACATACACACGCGCACACGCACACAGTTACTTGTTGGTCTCGGCTAAGGTCGTGATTAATGTCCATTCGTCAGAAAAGAAGAAGAAGAAGAAGAAAAAAAAAAAAGAAATGTAAACCAACAACAAGAACAACCTTATACATAGCTTAATTAATGATAACGTCACTACCGAGTGATCATGTCGCAAGACGCAAGACCTAGATTTTCTAAAAGGCATTCGCGATCCCCCCCCCCCCCCCCCCCCACTCTTCCCCACAAGCACTTATTGAATGCGATTCCTTTTTTTTGGTGATAAGATCTTGAGCATACTGACAACCGGGGCTTCGAAGGAAATCGATATTACGAACGACAGAATGTAAGATGCGACCACTTGTCCGAAAAACGTTATTACCTGAAAACGATAAATGATTATTAATCATCAATGTTTGAGAAAAATGTTTCGCCCTCGAGCTTCCACTCACCATACTGTCTTTTCCTAAATGCAGTGGGGAGTCCATATTCATCGCTGTCAGTCTGATGACGATGGGATGAACCAAATACGCACAGTACGTTACTCTGCTAAACGGATAAAGGATCGGCGCGGACAAAATGTCATTAACGTATCCTGAAATATCATAGTAAGCGTTAATTTTGTATATATACATATATTACGTGTCGTTTTGCCAATCATTAATTTAGCTCGTAAAGTTAAATAATTTAGCTTTAAAATTTGCCGATGGAGCGGCCCCCCCCCCCCCCGCCCGCTCACCCCACAATTATATTATTCCCAGTGGCAAAACTTACCGCAAGCTTTTTGAAATGAATGGCGACGGGGCTTTTAGTCACCCAAGATCCTTATAACCACCCAGCGAATCGATACACGATACACGATACAACTTTGGCACGAGCGATTGATACCCGGGAGCACAGCGTATCATCCAGACAATCGCCGCGACGATCACAAACAACGACATACTCACGATCACGTGGAACAAGCGCGAACAGTGTCACATCTAGCATCGCTCGAGGCCAAACGTCACTTTATCGCTCGATTGAATGTAGTAAAGTTAGTTTAGCAGCGACTGAGTTCACGGGGGCACCAGGTGTCATAGAATATGCAAATACCTCCGTAGCCGGTGCTACAAGCGATGACGATCCAAGCGAGGCTGAGGGCCCAGGCGCTGTGGCTAAGGGATGAGTAAGCGGCTCCCGTTGCCGGCGATATTTCCACCTCGTAGAGGCCGTACAAAAGACTGAGCAGGCACGCCGAGGAGAGGAGCCATCCTAGAAAGACAGTTGCCTGAAACAAGAGATCGAAGAGCTTAAGCTGTGGGTACGATTGGCTAAATTGTTATTAATTATTGGAGAGAAATTACGTAGACCGCTGATATTTATCATTAAGATGTTCGCGTCGTCTGATTTCACATTGATAAAGTGATAATTTCATTAATGTAAAGAAGAATGAAAGTGTCGTCTCTAAGTTTGTCGAGAGAGAATCTTTTGCAGGAAATCACTTCACAAACATTCCTATTGCCCGTAGACGCGTATACTCTCTCTTTCTCTCTCTCTCTGTCTCTCTCTCTCTGTCTCTCTCTCTCTCAACTTATTAAAATTTATTAATTACAATTAACAACTTATTAATTATTAAAAATTCATCGTGTGGAGCTGCTGCAGTAGGAAGTGTGAAATAATTGACACGCAGTACTGGTAATTTATATATTTGAAATAGCCTTTTTCAAGTCGATTCTATCGATTATATTTGACGTGGAATAATTATTGGAAAATTTCAGCAAGTCTTAGCGAAGACTTTGATTGATTC